ATAAAATCGGTTTCCTTTTTACTTCCAAAGGGATACTTGCGTTCCAATTGAGCAATGGCATTTTCAAACACTTCATCACCGGCCCCCAAACCATCATCCACATGAACCCCAACAATTCCATGTATACCACTTCTATCCTTTTTGGGGAGTACAAAGGTGCATGGATCCAGAGGGGACATTTTGAATTGGAGATTGAGTAAGGCATTCTTGAGTTCTTCATACCATAGAAGTGGGGCGTTCACTAAGCCATAGGCGCTTTTAAGGAGTTCGCAACATTCCCAAGGTTGGAGGTTCATTAACGACCTCATTTCCTTTGGGGGTTCCATGCCCAAAATTCGACCATCTTGTCGACTTCCTCTGAGGAAGGCAGTTTGGATGTCGAAGGAACGGATCTTCCACTTTGCGGAGGCAGCAAATTGTAAAATCAACGTTCGAGAGTCTTTTCCCATAGTTGGAGAATCTCTGGCAAGGGCTTCCAACTGAGGATCTTCATATCCCAAAATAACCAAACGAGCCTTGGCTTTTGGTTGAGGATTGGGGTCTTGGGTCGTAGGATCCACAGGTTTCCAAGTCAATACCCAACGGGAGCGGAGAATCTGTTCTTCTGGAATTTGATTCCGGGCTATTCTCCTGACAGTTTCAGTGGATAACCATGATTGGATCTCTTTATTTTTGGCTCCTTGAAAGAGTTTCATTTCTGATGGAGAAAGGTCTCTCTCTTTGATCTCAGCTCGTTGGCGTTTCGCTGCGGATGCTAGAAAGGCGATCTGTTCTGGCATGTCTTGCCGCATGCAGGCTTCAAGCTCTTCCACATTAAGGGCAATCTCAATCTCTTGCCCCGCAGTGACCATCTCGGTGCATGTATTGGCTGTTTGAAGTTCAGTTATTTGTTTCTCATATTGGGATTTGATGTGAAAAATGGTTTGTCCAGTCCATAGATTGGGAAGGCTTTGGTGGGCTTGGATGTTTCCATACCATTGATCTTGAATTTTCCATGAACCTCCATGTACAGCTTCCACATGTGTGATTCGGTGATTGTCAAGCCATTCGGGATTTATGGGACAACCCTCTACTAACATAGGATTAAACAATCGATATCGTGGATTTCGATGACGTCTAATCAACTGATGCTTGTGGATTACCCAATCATCTTGACATGTCATTAAGGCATCGGCACCATCGGCGTCAGAGTCGGGAACAGGGATTTCCCAAGGCTGCAGGTTGTTACCGTCATCTGGCATCACTTGGCCTTGGCTAGTTTGACTTGCGGCCGGCTCGGAGTCTGGTTGGATATCCTCAGTGTCTCGTTCTTCATTCGACCCAGATTCAGCAACTGCTGGTTGAGGCTCTATGGTATCAGGCATGTTAAGTGGAGGGTTTTGTGGTCCATTGGCTTGATTATGGCTGGTGACTTCAGGTGACGGGTTATTGTTATCGGGATCATTAATACTTGGGTTATGTTGTGAAGTGAGGTCTTGGTATTGAAACACACCAGATTCAAGTCTCTGAGGCCCTGCTGTCGGGAACCCTTGGTCCGAGCTCGGCAGGTTGGCTGGATCAGCTTCACGGCTGGATAACGACCTAAGGTGTTCAGGCGCGCATCGATAAAGTCGGCTTAAGTGCGACAGCCAGACCACATTGGGGTCTTCCCGCATAAGAACTCTGGCGGGGCCATGCCATGATCCCGGGAGACTGCCTTTGCCATCCCTCCAGTACATAACCCATTGTCCAATTTCGAAAGAATTTCGGGCTGGTCGGGTTCTTTGCAAGAAGGCTCTCCGTAATTTCAAGTCATGGTCAGATTTCACAAAAGCAACTCTGGCATTTTCTCGCGAACTCAAGTTCTTTTGGAACTGGGTGATTTCACTTGATGTTTCCAGCTCTTCCTGCAAATAGTCTGACGGCCCAAAATCATCATTGGATACTGAGGCAGGTTGATGGCGGGATTTGCCCAACACGAGAATCTCCGGACTATAACCTCGGCATCTGGACAGACTATTCTTGGCAGCCGTACATTGGCATAAGGCTTGTTCAAGTTCTTCTCTGCAGGTTATGGGATGGTTGATTTGTAGTTTATTCAGCATGTCTTGAAGTATGGCGCCATGTCGCTCACACTTGCCGAGCTGCCAATGGGCTTCGGTTGGAACTACGGTGCTTTGAATGTCAAAAGACTGCAGAAACTTGGCAAACTCTTCACTCCAAAACTCCCCCGCACTGTCGGACATCAGCTGCTTTGGAGGTCCAGCCCAGCTAAACCAGTATGTCTGCATTTGACTTGCTACTTCCTTGGACGTTCTGGATTCACAGGTGAAGGCTACTTGGAAATTGGTGCCGGAATCGATCATGTGGTAAAACGTATAGCCTACCCCCTGGGCTGATGTCCATGTAACTGCATCAATGGAGACGAGATCATTGAAGGCTCGGGGCAATGTCAGGTGGCTTGGTCTGGCAATTTTTGGGCGTTGTTGTTCAAAACATGAAGGACAGTGAAAATCTTTGA